TAAACCAAATATAAATTATTTTGTTATTGTACATAAATTAAATTATAAAAAAATTGAATTAAAAATTTACACAAAAAAATGAGGAATTTCATATAGTTAATTTGATACTAATATCGATATATTTTTGTCAAACTTTTATGATATCTTCAAACATATATTTTATTCAAAAATAAAAACATTATCGTTTTCTCAAAATCACATAAAGCCATATTATAATATCGACTGAGATAAAGAAGAAAATGAAATATTAAAATCATGATGTATCTCGCTGCATTGCACGAGTACGCTTCTAGTTATTAAAAATACGTTACATAAAATAAAAATCGAAAAAGAATTCATATAAATATTTTTATTTATTTATTTTGCTTAAAAAGAAAATTTGTCGATTATTTACCGTAAAATTTGTTATCCATCGGAGTAAAGACTGTTGCATTTTCCATTTAGGTTCAGATCTACCGACGTTCCGTTTGGGAATAGAAATCCGATCTCCACAACAGAACATTTACGCACGAATCTTGCTTAATCTCACCGACAATTTTGGGAGGTTTTTCGATCGAAAATTTCACCTACAAGGTTTGGTTGTTCTTCAGTTTTGATCTCGTTTGATCGGAGGAGATAACGATGTGGAGCACGACTCTTGCGAATTTGAAAGAAGACCTAAATAAAATCGCCTTAGATGTTCATGATGACGACGATGATGATGACGGCGATGAATATGAGAGGTTATCGGAGATCTCTAATTCTAGAAACTCTTCGTTTTCTGATCGGAGATTTTCTCGTAATCATGGTCGTTCAGGTTCTCCCATGGTCAATGGTCTTGATTCGACTTCTAATTTAGAGGTGATTGTGCTAAAATGTTCATGCGTTTCAAATTGGATTGTGCGTGAGTCATGTTGGTGTAGCTTATTTCCAGTTGCCCATGCGTTTTTTTTAGTTTGAATTGATTTACTGCAAATTGTGTTTTTTTGAATGTGCTAAGTTAGGGTTTTTGAGAGGTTAGGTATCGATATCATGGTGAAGTGAAAATCAGGCCTGTGAGGTAAAAGTTGGAAATGTAGTTGATCTGTTTGAAACGAATATACTAATGACAGCATCATTTAGCAGAAACTTCTGATGTGGAGTCACTTGGTCTAGCAGCTTATGGAATTTTTTTGGTCAATAACGAGCCTTGGATTGAGCAACCAAAAACCTTGTGGGTTGTGCATTACGAATATCTTCTTGCTCAAGTATTATGTGAATTTCGTGGCCTTTAGCTTGTTTTCTTACTCAAGCATGCATCAAGCATCAATTCAGTCTAACTTACTTGAATAAGTGCTAAATAATATGTTTTAGAAAATTGCCTTTTCTTAAATCAATGTTATGGTTGAAAGATATGCTATTTCGCATTTGAAATCTGTTGCTGGCGTATATCATGCTTCTGAATGTGTTTACAGCCTGAATGTAGGTTGTATTTTCTCAAATCCAGGGCAGTATAGCAGCAGAGTAGCTAGCTTTGAACGCAGCGTTACATAGTGATCATATGGCAGTTTATGGGAATCTTAATTCTTTGAGAGTCATTTGGAATGAGAATTCTTACCGGAAATATTGCTAGTGGTTTAGGGCTGTCACAACTTTTGAAATGGGGTAATGTCTAGCATGTCTAAGAGGTCACATGAATGTTGCAAAATAGAGCTCGCTGAATGCCTTGTATATGTGAGCGGTTCTTAAGGCTTTTGAAGATGATACATACGAGGAAGATACAAGCAGAAATGATCTACTTTATGAAATCTTGCATCTTGCCTAATGTGAATTGTTGACTTATGTATACCATATTGTACTCTGTACAGTCCCACTCCTGTACAATTTCATATATATATATATATATATATATATATATGGAATTCTTAGTTACTTTTCTGAAAATTTGATTTTCTTGGACAGACTTGCCATTTATGTTTTAATCGTGTTGTATTGCAGATTGATCAATGCAAAGCAGAGATCAAGAGGCTTCAGGAATCTGAGGCACAAATCAAGGCACTATCAGTTAATTATGCAGCTTTACTAAAAGAAAGAGAGGTACCGATTTGTTTTTTTGGATGGTTCGATTTTTTTATGAAATGTACCAACTTCTTAGCATATGCAATCAGTTGCGTAACCACTTCTTATACATGTACAGTTGGCACAGTTTTTTACAGCTTTCATAGATTTCTTGAAGATTTATCTGAATTGTTGGTCCCCACACATCATGAACGTTGTGGAAATAAATTTGTTAGTGCTGGACATGCTGCAGAACGTGTCGGACAGTTTGTTACTTGAGACATGCCATACATGCAGAATTAACCAAAAAAAGCACCAGATTTATAGCTATAATATTGGGATAGTATATCACAGGGAGCAAGTAAAAGAAAAAGTATCTGTTATCGAACAAGGAATAGATGGGGCATCCATTATAAACTGAGTTTATGGCTTCACATGTTTAGTTTTTTGCTTGTAATTTGGCAGATGCATTTACGGACATCAATATTGTATATACTACTCCCTTAAGGCTCAGACTCAGTTCCACAAGAATTGCTATGAATGGATTTGTACAAATATTAAGAAATATGCTAGTTCTATCTATCCTCCAAACTTCTTTCACATTTAAAATAGTATGATCGATAAAAACAAAGCAAGCTTATATTCTTGGTTCATAGATTTAACACAAAATTAGATTGTTTGTAGTGGATAAATGCCTACTGAGAAACGATTGTGAACAATAGAGGTGGACGTAAGCAAGGGTACATAAATCATTCTTGTGCCAATTTTTTTTCCCAAACAAAAAGTGTTGCAGTTGCTGTGGTTCATCCACAACAGAATTTTTGCAGTATTTTAAGTAGCAAACCCCAAAAAGGGTGAAGTTTTTGTTTCCTTTATTCAAGTAATAGGCAATTGTCCTGTTCATTTTTGTTACAAGCTTGAAGTTTTTGTTTTCTTTATTCAAGTTTCATTCTTTATTGCTCGCTTCTTATATTTGGAAAGAAATAGTTAATTTAGATGAAATGTAGGGCCGTAATGAGTGGCTTATTGGGTATATGTTAAGAATTTTGTTTCTTCACATGATCTAATCTTTTCATTCAGAAGCACACATATTTAGGACATGTTTTCTTATTGTTTCTCCCTCCCTTGCTCTTAGAATCATAGTACTGCTTGTATATTTCGAGAGCTATTCGCTTCTATTTCTTCGAGAAAATCCTGTGCTGTTGAGATTCTTCTAAAAGTGATCCTAAGGTTCCATTTGCAGGATCGTATTTCTCGATTGAATGATGAAAATAGTTCTTTGAAGAAAAACCTTGATGCATCTAGAAGCGAGAATTTAAAGACATCAGCAAGTAGCCCATCTGGGTACAAGGTAGGCTTATGATTATCCAACCGTATCTACTAGTGGTGTACCTGGGTTGGTTTGGTCATGTAGTTTTCTGATTTCTTCCATTTGTTGAGGAAGATATTGCATATGCTACTTGCTTATGGGTTTTTAAATTTTAACAATTACGTGTTCAGTCAGCTTAAATGCATGGTTCACCCTTGTTTTCTGCATGTTTGGTTTTTGTTTCATTCTACATCAGATATTTGCTGATGATAGCTTTTTAACCTTTAGGGTACTGATAACTAAATCGACTGCAGAAAAACCGTTCATTTGGAAAGAGGGTGCAGAATGGTGTCGCATTGAAAGAAGATGCACCAGGAAATGGGGTTGCACACTCCTTCCAGCCCACCATGATTCAAAATAAGATGGGAAATTCAACCACTGAAGGCAATGAAAAGGTAATACCTGCTTGTGCGCTTCTGTTAATAAAGCATGGACCTTACTAGCCGTTTGTTGCTTGCCGTGCAAATGTACTGGTTTGTGCATGGCACTGGCAGCAATGTGATCAAAGACATTTTTTTCAACGTGAAATATTGTTCTCCATTTGTCTTTCTCAATTTGGAATCCTGCATGTTGGACAGCAAATTTATGCAATTGTGAGCCATGTTACATGAATGGTTATTTATGGATCATAATTAGATTTTTCATTTTTGGTAGTAAAATACTTTCCTGCTGTAATCGAGATGATTATAGGAATTTGAGGCCCTTGTTTTTTTCTTCATCTTCTAGTTTTCATAATGTGCTTTTTAGTACATAATGAATAAATTTGACGACAGATATATGAATAACTTCTAGGAGCTATCTGATTTGCTGGAGGAGAAAAGCAGATCTCTTGCAGCACTGCAAGTAACACATGAGCAACAAATAAAACAATTACGCGAGGAACTTGACAAAGAACGTGGAAAGTTGGCAAGTTTGCATTTCAGATTCCAAGGTATTCTTGCACGGAGAGTTGACTTGTGACTATGTTTTATTCATGTAATGAGATCTTGTCTGATGCCAAAATTCATTTCTAGAGGAACAGAAGTTGAACAGATCTTTCCAGGAGGAAGAGAATTCCTTAAAGGCAGATAAAGAAAATGTAAGTTCTATGTCTGATATCTAAAAATCTTAAGAGTTGACAGACAGTTGGACAATGCTGCAGTTTGGCACATACACGATTTGGAAACAACTTACCAAAAAAAGATCAATCACTTGCGTCCACCCTCTGTTTTAGGAATGAGGTGAAGGAATTGCTATGCAATTTGCATGGTATTAATATGTATACTGTATGAACATTTCTATCAAATATTACAAGAGTGAAAAATTCAGTACTCTTCTTAACATCATACTTTTCGGTGACACCTGTCAAAAGAGTATCAAGTTCTAGTTCTGGAATTTGTTGTACATTTAAGCATTTGTCTTGGCTCTGTGAGTGTTTTCAACGTTGGGATTTATTTCTGTGGTATGACTTTGTTTCCTTTTTGCAGATGTTGGCAGAGATGAATAAAATAAGAGATGAGCTGAGCAGAAAATTATTTGAAATCAGACATTTGCAGATGGAGTTGAATAGAAGGGAAAATGCAGAAGCAAATGATGTTGCAGAGGATCTTAGAAGAATAGTGGCAACCTTGGAAAAAGAGAACAGTGATCTTAAGGTTAATATCTGTAAAAGAAGGAAGATAATCATTTTTTTTTAAGTTGGAACACAATGCTTTCTTGTTGAATGTAGCACAAGTCTCGTCATCTTTTTACAATTTGTTTTCTTATAGATGGAGAAAAACGAACTCAAGGTTGCTTTGGAAGTTGCTGGTAAATCTTTGGCCCCAAATTCGAATGGGATGCATGAGGTTGGTCTGTTGTAGCTTTTAGAGCCATGTTGAAAAAAATTCTTGTTCACCCTTTATGTTTGTATATATTTGTGCCTGAACTATATCTCCATGATGTTCTTTATGCAAAATAGTATTTGCGTGCAGCAGGTACCGGGAAGTTTTCCTGGCAAAGAAGAATTGGAGTCCTCTTTGCAGAAGCTGGAGAAAGATTTGAAAGAGACGTCTCGAGAAAGGGACAAGGCATTACAACAACTGAATCGGCTTAAGCAGCATTTATTGGAGAAGGTTCTGTACCCAGAACTTCTTATCTTATTTTCTACCCCAACCCTTCCCTTCAAAATGTCTTGGTATAGCTCTTTCATTGCTATGCTTGATGTTTTATCTACATAAAACCCTCAAACATACATGTATTTTAGTTGTATTTTATTCTATATGTATGCACAGTAGGTATCATCTGTTTATTTGTTAAAGATTTCACTCACTGGATGATTGTAATGATATGCTCTGATTTTGTTTAGGAATCTGAAGACTCTGAAAAGATGGATGAGGACAGCAAGATCATTGAAGGGCTACGGGAAAATAATGAAAATTTAAGAGCTCAAATAAGACATTTGGAGAAATCTCTCGATCGGGCTCTTGCTGGTCAAGAAGAGGTTAAGATGACGAACAACAACGAACTTCAGAAGTCCAAGGAAATCATTGATGATCTAAGTAAAAAAGTGGCCAGTCTTAGAAGCTTAGTAGATGCCAAAAATGTTGAACTTCTAAATCTTCAAACTGCTCTTGGTCAGTATTATGCTGAAATAGAAGCTAAGGTAATTTTGATTTTGTTTTTTGTGCTTTTTAATTAGCATCGCCTGTTTGAAGGCATGGATCTGAGTCGGTGTTGAAAGTCGCTTTAGGTGTTTGCAATAAAAAAATTATGTTCATCGTTATTACTTCTATGCAATTAGGAACATTTGGAAAGAGAATTGGCTTCCGCAAGAGAAGAATCTGCGAGACTTTCGGAGCATTTAAAGGTTGGTTCTCACTCTTGTTATAGCTTGCCTAAGTTAGATTTTATCTTTCTTGATTTGTATTTTTTCAAAAAGGCAGCAGCCTAGTACTAGTAGTATACTTCATATTGCTACGAAGTAAGTAGCTTAATAGTACAGAACAATATTGGTTGAATCTAATTCATTTATTCACCAGGAGGCATTTCAACAAGTGGAGACAGCAAAGAAGGAAAAGGAGGAATGTTTGGAAAAACTTTCACAGGCTGAAAGGCTATTAGCAGAAGGAAAAGGAAGAGTCAATAAGTTAGAGGAAGACAACACCAAGCTACGCCGTGCTCTTGAGCAGAGCATGACAAGACTTAATAGAATGTCAATGGACTCTGATTTTTCTGTTGACAGGTTAGTTTTCTGATTGCTTATCTTGGAAATTCGGTTGTTGAATCGCTTTGCACGCTTTTTAGGAAGTTTCCCTAGTGTGCATGTGTCCAGCGTGGTGTTTGTTATGGAACAATTAAGTACATATGTCAGCACTATTTTGGTCATGCAGCATCCTGTTTTTATAAGAACCGGCTACTGTTTATATTTTATGGCATGATACTTACATCAGTAGCTTATGTGGAGACCAAGTTTTACTTGGTAACTTATATATCTGTTTATATTTTATGGCATGATAATCAGTAAATAGTTTGGAGCTCTTATACATGAGCCTGGAACAACAATCAAACAGTTTAATCTGTAAGCCCAAAATTTGAAGATGAAGGGAAGGGATTAAGATAAACATAACCAGTCATTGTTTTACTGATGATACTAATTTTCTGATGAATAGACACATGATATATATATAGATTGAAGTGCCTGATTTCATCTGATGTTTGAGTATGTACTTTCTATGTGTGTTTTTGGTTGTTTGTATTATGATTATTCAAATTTCAAACTGGTTGCACGTATGCAGATTTCTCACTTCTGCACCAATTCATGCTTCTCTTAATATTCTTTTTTTGTATTTCCACCACGTTATGCCTAAACCAAAACAAACCCAATAAATCTCACCCGGAAGTAGGGTTTGGGTGGGGGGTAAAATGTACACAGAGCTATTCTTTACATAAGGAGGCAGAGAGACTGTTTCTGACAACCCCCCTCGGCGTTAAGATGTCCACGGACATTTCCACTAGGGCATGCCTCTACCACAAAACCAACACCGCAATATTGCAAAAGATCTCTGGATCCTTTCTGGAGCAGTGTCTTATTGGAATATATACTTGTTAGTTATCACCTTTGAATGTTAATCAAGTTCCCATGAAGAATAACTGGCAATATCTGCAGGCGGATTGTGATCAAATTGTTGGTGACATACTTCCAGAGGAACCACAGTAAAGAGGTATAGAATCTCTTCCTTGAATCTGTGCCTGCATTCTCTCTCCTTTCTCTCTATCTCTCTATATATGTATATACACATTGACTTGGGATCACGTGAGACCACTACCTTCAGTGTTTCTGCTGTGAATGTTCGGATTTTTTTTTACCTTCAGTGTTTTGCTGTGAAGTTTCAAATGTAAAAATGTGGTCTCACGGGTCTCACAGAAACAGGCTGGTCTTACGTGAACCCAACCCTATACACATCTATATATATGTATTTATATATATGTTTCTGGAATTTCGTGTTCTAAATAAGTGACCTTTTGTTCTTTTCTGTTTGTTATCTTCATGCGACTTGTTATTAGTGGTTTAGCAAACACCATCTGTTTCCTTTCTGTGTGGGCACAAGAAAAAAATAAACAAAATATAAACATATTGACTGACAATTTCTATATCTGGGTCCTTTTAGGTTCTGGATCTTATGGTACGCATGTTAGGATTCTCTGAAGAAGACAAACAGAGAATTGGTCTTGCTCAGCAAGGAGCAGGTAAAAGTGTTGTTCGTGGTGTTTTTGGTTTACCAGGTCGTCTGGTAGGTGGCATTTTAGGAGGAGCCCCAGCCGATAATCCTGCAAATGTGGCGTCAGATAACCAGGTAATTATATTCTCTCCTGCAGCATCACTTCCACGAAGAAGGATCGTGTGAGAATGAGTTAAGAGGAGAAGTTTAAGAAGGGATTTCGACCATTAATCACTTTTAAACTCAAAACAACTCATGTATTGCGCTTTAGAAGGGAATTGATTCAATATATCTCATTAGTGTTGATCTAGTGGTTCTCTTCAAATAGGATTGATCAAAGGATGGAGATCCCTTCTTACCCTTCTCACCATAACTTTCATTCTCACCAGAACCCAACCCTCACTTCCACACCATCTCTTGGGTGTCATTTACTAAACGCTTACCGGGTCATTTACATTACCGGATGAACATGGCAAGGGCCAATAATTTTACCCGGTAAGAGTGTTGATAAGGATGGAGAGTCTTACCCGGTAAGTGATGGTAACGACTCTTACCATGCGAGCGCTTACCGGGTAAATTATTGCATACGATACCGTTTTTATGAATTACAATCTTATCTGGTAAAGGAAGTTAGAGTATCGACTCTTATTGGTAAAAACTGGGTAAGCGTTTGAGTAAACGGCCCCTTAGTTCTCTAGATCTGCTTTTGTGGAACTGGTTTGCAATCTTCCTTGGTATTTTTTGGGACTCATTACTCAGTAACCGGGTAAGAGTGCAGTCTGGGTGTAAGAGTCCCTCCCTTAGCTTACCAGGTCAGCATCTCTGACAGGGTAAGCCTCTTACCCGGAGGTGGTAGCTACAGCCCCCCTCAATCAGATGAAGAACCAGAATAAGAAAACACATTTGGAACATACAAGGTGCCAAGTTCAAGCATTCTTATGATCCTTTCTCAAAATTTAACAGTAATGAATTGATACAGTTATAAAACGAAGAGATTTTTAGCATCATATTACGATGTCTTAGCTTGTGCCAAGGCTTGATATTTTTGGATTTCCATTTACTCAATCATTCTCCAGTGCTACTCCATCTCCATTCTATTCTATATTAGTTTTATCTGATACCCTCTTCTTTCTATGGAAATTGACACAGTTGACTTTATGTACATACTAAAATTGTTCGACTACCAGTCAAGAGTAAAAAATGCAGTTCCATCATGACAAAATAGCCAATATCGTGTGTTATAAATTGATGCTTAGTTGGTCAAATTCATGTAAATTTCATAGACTGAAACCAATGTCGTAGAACCATTACATAACCACAATTACTTTAGTATCGTGAGGTAGTTTTATTTCTAAAGTTTGCTTCTAGACAAAATCTTGCACTCAATATAGACATCTCAAATTGAAATTTTTTGCAATTTTTATGAGATGGATCGGTTTCTTTTATTTCTGAACACATAATAATATAAACATATTTTATCCCCTCTGATGCTTTTCATAACATTGTACGAAATTCTCGATTGTCAAATTCAGATAAGCATTTGCTTTATAGAATCAAAAGATACAAAGCTCAAGTCTCTTTAGCTAGTATAATCAAGAATAGAAAGATGCTATGTGAAGGTTTTGGCTTCTTTTTCACTTGCTTTGCAAAAACTAATCCTTTTATTCATATCGTAGCCACTCGTTTTTATTGTTACCTTCTAGTTATTTTGCACACATCTTACAAGACGGGGGGGTCTTCACGTAAACAACCGCTCTACTATGAGGATAGAGGTCAGGATGCATATGTACCCCCCCCTCCCCGGGCCCAGGACCGCCACCTTCTGGTAGAATATTTTGGGACTGTTTGTTTTGGTTAGTAGCCACTATACAAGTTCTTATGCATACTTGTATCTTCCAGTCGTTTGCGGATATGTGGGTTGATTTCCTTCTAAAAGAGGGGGAAGAAAGGGAAAAGAGAGAATCTTCGCAAAATGTTGATGGATCTAGAGAAAACCAAGATGCAGGTACAAATCCAGTTAGCACAAACATCTTCCAAACAGAACAGCGTAATTCAGAGTTTTCAACTGTTCCTCTCGCCTCACCGGACAGCAATCATTCTCGATTTTCGAGACAAATTCCCAGATACTAATTAGTAAGGGTTTTTGGTTTGTGTAGTTTTTACCTTTTATTATTACATATAGTTTTTATGTTCAATTTATTCTTTCATTTACAACTTGTACGGGTGTCTTTGATATATGATGGATGAGCTTGCACACATCAAAATGCTCCTCGTTTGTGGTCTTTTTCAGAATGATGATGATATACAATAGCAAAGAAAGTTTGGTTCTTGTCTCTGCAGTGGACATTAGGTATTGCGCCCCCTCTCCACAAGCTCTCTGTTCTTCGTTACCACATGTAAGACCCCCTCTTCATATGTTTACATGCTTTGGTATTCCAAGTAACGACCTTTGATCGGAGTTCTTGGAGACAAGGTTTTGGGTAGCAGGTTATAGATGTAGGGACCTGTGAATGTGTCGAGGGTGGGGCGGAGGCGGGTTACTGGGCTGGCAAATAGGGTAGGAATGGATGTGTGCTCTTACCTTTTCCTATGTTTTAACGTACCTACTTTCTTACCATTTCTTGCTCTCTTTTCTTCGCTTGTTTTCTATATCCTTTTAGCTCACACTCTTGCACAAGTTGGGGGGATTTTCACTTAAACAACACCCTACCCTTTAGGGTGGAGGACAAGTCTGCCTATGTCTCCCTGCCTCCCCCCCCAGATTATACTTATGAGTGAAACATGTCGGGTTTGGTTAGGGCTCAAGCATCATGGCATCTAACCCACTTGCTTATGAGCTTTTAATGAGAGAATTCCGATGCTTTCTTTTGTATTTAGTAGCTCTTTTGATGATCGAGATTCAATATTTAAACTCTCCAAATTTGAAGACATGAATGTTCATATTCTCGAATTGATTGAACTCAAAATTTTCAATGACCATCATTTTGATAGTCTTGCATAGTTCTCGTTCATCGATTGTCATTTACGGATGTTGACCATATGTTGAGTCACTTTTTTACGAGCATTATGCCAGGCTTATGTTCAGCCCTTTAAGGTGCCTACTGTTTAGTACGTGAACATGATTGGATAGAACTAGAATGATAAGAGTGAGATAGATGGTATGAAAAATTTGTGGTTTGGTGGAACAAAAAGAAACTGTATTTTTATTATATTTTGTCTAATTATGCCACCAAACATGTCTTGGCATGCCACATGCCTTTTGTACCGAATGCACCCTTAGGTAGTGTTTCGTACTGGACTGAACGTGACAGGACTTGACAGGATAAGAGAACGAGATCGGATATGATAAGTTCTATGTATGTCTAGTATTTGGTAGGACTACTAGGACCAAGTTGGACAAGTTACCTCTAAATGTTTTATTGATTTTATATGGTGGTTATTGGTGGTGTTGGAGGTGTCGGTGGCCATTGGTCATGGTTGTAGAGGAGGTAGAGGTGGTGGTGTCCAATGCGTTGGAAATAGTGGTGGCTGTTGGTCGACAATGGTACTAGTGGAAGTGGTGATTTTAGACGACTTGGAGATGGTGGCGGCCAACAGTGGTGGATATGGAGGTTGAGATGGTTGTCGTGGAGGTGGTGTGGCCTCCGTCGGTGGTGGCGGTTGTGACCATTAAACCAAATATTATATTAGGGTTATATCGAATGAGGATAGAGAATTTTTTCTCATCTAATCCCTATCCTTGTTCTATATCCTGTCAAACATGGAACAATAAGTTTTTGTATTGTCTCATGTTGCGTCAAACTTGGAACAGTGAGTGTTGTCATATGCAAACCTTAGATATTGTTCCATACTTTCCGATAACCAAGTTTTCTTGTTTTACAAGTTTAACTGCAAAAATTTTAAATATGTCATTCTATTTCATTATTTTTTAGATAAAATAATATCTGTTTACAAATTACAACCTTTGTAACTTAGATTCTGAAGTAAATCATGCTTCTAGCTTAGCATACCGTACGATAAAAAATTAACACAACCGGCCGGCTGTTTGGTTGGTTTCATTGACCATTGAATTAAACCATTTTGTAACATAGCCATTGACATTAGGGGTGTAATGGTCAAGCCGAGTAGCAAGTTATTTGATCTTGGCTCGAAATACTATACCAAACTTAAGCTCGAACTTGCGATCGGTTATCCTATATTTTTATTGTATGATATATTAATACATGAAAACGTTTGACTCGAAAAAACGTATGCTCGAATAGCTTCTATTCAAAAAAATCTAATCGAGTTCTTGATGAATCGAGTCAAATTGGTGCAGCTTGTTAGGTTAAACGAGTTCTTTTTTGTGTTTGAGATTAACTTAAACTCGAGCTCTCTAATAAACACTTAACCAAGCCAAACTTACAGAATAGGTTAAAATGGTTCTCACATACACATTCAACACAAGCCTTTTTGATTAAAAAAACAAATAAACATCAGTTGAGCATCACTAAAAAGATCACAACACCTGCTACAAAATAACAACAAATTCACCAACAGTCTTGTCTACTACAATCCATAAGGAAATATGAATTGAAAATCAAGCTCTCTTCTTGTCTTTCAATGGTCCTCTGGGGATTTTACTCACAACCTTGGCATCAAACACTGCATACTGCTTCTTCATCTCCATCATTGCCTTCTCTGCAAATGCATCTATCTGGTCCTCGTACTTCTCGTACACCACGGGGATCGTATGTAGAAGCACAAAAGCTGTTCCCAACAAAATTTTACCCATCACTTTTTCTATTTCGATTAATAATAATCAAAGGGAAAACACGAGTAGCAACAAAAAAAGAGATGTCGGTCATTACCTATGTAGAACAATGTCAAGAAATTGCACCAACTCCCGACAATGGAGAGAACCCACAGTCCAGCAACAACCTGCCAAAAGGTATACGATTTACATCAAGTAGCAGCACCAACACAGGGAGGGGATAAAGGACGTAAAATAATGCTACCTCTGTCTCAAAATAAGTGTTTCTACATTGCTACTTTAGTTTGTTACAAAATAAACGTCTACTTTGAAAAGTAAATGTCTACTTTCCCATTCTACCCTTAGTTATGCGGTGAAGAAAATTTCTCTCTATAATTAAAGGTGAAATGGTTCTTTTATTAATTAATAAGTGTAGTAATTACACATTCTGTGCATTTTTCATTATGGATATTTATTTTGGGACGGAATGGAGGAAGTATTTAAGCAGGAGAACCGGGTGCATTTGGTACACAGGACAAAACAAAAACTTGATAACCCATGTTGCGATGTTAGACTGAGGCAGATCAGGACCTGAACGGGACAAAAATGAATCTTTTTATCCCATAAAAGTAGGTGAAACAAAAATCGAGAAGATGAGACAAGATTGGTAAATTACTATACTACCCACATCTGAAATCTAAGACTTTCCACTATCTTTCACCAGCTGACCTCACTTGTCCATCCGGTCCACATACCAAACGCACCGTAAAGTCTTGTCTAATATTTTCTACTTCCCCTCATGAAGTTGTGTGGGTGGGTGGGTGAGTGTGAGATAAGAGTAGAGGCAGGAGATAAAATCATACACCAAGAAACTTCTTTAAATCCCTTCCAGATGCAATGTTCCGTAGCGTGTCAAGTGCCTGGTTAATTTCAATCCTTAATCCAGCAGCAATCTGAAGAAACTTGTCCTCAGGAATTCGAACTTCTGGGATACGTGGAGGAGACCTGTATAGCTTAATCAGTCAGCCAATGACCTCAATATCACATTCTAGTCAAACAATATAAAGCTTACTTGTTAATGAACTTAGAAGCATTTGCCCACAGGAAGAGAACCGCAAACGCAAGTATCAAAACGTGGCAAACCAAAGTAAGCAGATGGTACTCGAGCAATTCAAAGAACACCCACACTGCAGTTGCTCCACCAAGTACACTGGCTGATATCTTCTTGTTCCTCCACAAGAATACATCAGCAGCTGCATATAAGACATCATAGAAAATTTGTAGTTATTAAAATTAGAGATAAAGTACACATCAAAGTCTAAAGGACCATGGCATACTTTCCTGGGAACCCTTCACCGTGCCACACGATTCTTTCGCCCAAAGGGCTTAATGCATTGGTTTGCTAATTCAAGAAAAGGGCTTAATGCATTGGTTTGCTAATTCAAGAAAAGGGNAAAGGGCTTAATGCATTGGTTTGCTAATTCAAGAAAAGGGCTTAATGCATTGGTTTGCTAATTCAAGAAAAGGGTTACTTATTTAAACAGAAGTCAACTCATCTTCCAGTTAAGTCTATTGCAATACTTTTGCAATCAAGCATTTTAGCAGCAATGGTATTTCCTTGATGAACAAGAATACTTCTATATTTGCCGCCAAGATTTTATATAGGCATCAAAGGCGACCATTTCAGACATTTGCCCGTGATCAACGTTCTAAAGGGCATGAGACGTAGCATGGCGGTGCAGTCAAGCCTCAAGAGCCACGGCGAGGCCACGACGTTTTTCAAGGCATGACTTATGGCGGCACATTTCTATACCATATATATAATATGATATGTATACTCGTGCGTTTTCTACTATTGCTCAATGAATCGGTGATATTAAACAATTTAAATTAGGTTATATACTAAAAACTAAGACACTGTAAAGGTAAGAAAAATCAAATATCACATTACAAAAACCAGACACCAGGACCATGGCGTCCCACCAGAGCCTTTTAGAACACTGTCTGTGATTGTGCCATGGAAAGAGCAAGAAATGATGGAATAGAACAGGAGTTCATTTTAGCAACTTTTGCGAATGCTTCTCTACAAGGATGGTGCCTGATTGGTTTGAGCTTGGCTCCAAAGGTCAAAACTACCTGGAGGTCCAAGGTTCAAATCCAAGGAGGAATAAAAATCCCCTTATGGCCATGAAGGTTCAAATGCGGTGACTCCGGCGGGCTATCTGCAAAGCAGGTGGTCGCCCTGGGATTAGTCGGCTGGCACAGTGGGTTGGATATCCAGGTTAATAAAAAAAAACACGAGTCAACTACTTGGTGAATGCATATCTGCTTTGATCTTATAAAAATGAAGACTCACAGTCCAAGTGTTATGCTTTCTTACATTCCAAATCCCTACGAATCCCCAGTAAAAAATAAAGCTTAATTCTGAGAACTGAAGAACCCGAGGATAATAAACAACTGAATCCCAATCCCAAAGTGCAAAACTACTCAGATAAGCTCAATCCAAAGTCACTTGCTCTTCTAGTTCATCAACTACGCGATTATATCAATTAACAGAGCAGCAATGGATAGAAAATCATGAACTTACATTATGAACAGTAAAATCATACGCAAAAACTCAAAATCTGTCACAAATCATGTGCTAGAAATTCAGTACGATCTATCAAAACAAGAGTACGAACTGATATATTCAACTTACGTTTTCCACCACCAAAAACCTTGTGAACCGGTTTCTCCCTACCGAACAACCGGTAGATCTTCGACTTCATCGAAGTCGGAGAAGGAGCATCGTGATGCTTTTTCTTCAACTCATCATCGTGCTTCTTCTTCAACTCATCATCGTGCTTCTTCTTCTTCTCAGAATCCGAATCCGACGACGAAGAATCGTCGCGCTGAATCTTCTCTGTAATTTTATCCATAAACGACTCGCCTTTCGGCTCGATTTCGTCATGGTACTCCGCCATAATCACCCAAAAGCTACAAATTCCAAAACCCTAATTGTTGATCGATTGAAGCAGCGATTGAAGTTGCAAACAGTAGGTAATCTTGAAAGGAGATAATTTTTGCCCAAATTGGGGAACAGGTGGATGCGTGAGGGCATAAATACGTGTACGAACTTCAAGAAGTGACTATCCGAGCCTGAGGTTCGGAGTAAATTAACGCCGTTACTTTGACGTTTTTTTTTCTTTTCTTTTTCAATTTTTTTTCATTTCTTTTTCGATAAACATGTGTTTCATATCAAGACAAAATATGATAAAACAGGAATGAAAAGTACATGACCGGTAAAATGACTAATTTATACTAACGAGTTTATATATTTTTATATTTTAATTAGTTTATAAAATTTCTGAAATTATCATAAAATAAATATATTTATGTTAAAATATCTTATATGAAGATATATTGGTTAAATATTAGTTTGTACTCAGGTAATCGGTTGAAGCATTAACCGATTAAGATGAAAATATTATTATGTTTTTAACATAAAATTTTATTTTATTAATAATGTAAAAACCATAATAAGACATGTTAACTCGTGGGTAAGCTTGACCCATTTATAAGACTGGCATGAGCAACTTACTTGTAATCTTAAATTTTAAGTAATATGTATCATTAAACAGTAATTCATGCATAAAAAATGATTTTAAGATTTTTTATCAAATGTTTTATAATATAGTATAGATAAATTATTAAATAAAAAATGTCTATATTTCATGTTTTGTGAAACCATTTTTCCCCAAGTTATGTTTTACTTTATATTTTAAGATGAAAATATTATTATGTATTTTTACATAAATTTTATTTTAATTAATAATTATAATAAAATAATTATTTTTTCATAACAAAATATATCTTTAGAAAGTTTTCGTCAAAACAATTAAATAACCCCAAATAAAAAAGTTTATGTAGTTTGGAAGTTTTATTTTTATCTCTTTCTACAATATTTATTATTATTAATGTATAGTAAATTACTTAAATTAATAAAAATAATGAAATCGTATAAAAATAATATTTTGAGGACAGTAAAATGAATGTTTAAGAAACATAAAATATAATAAATAAAATTTAAATAATGAATAAAATGTAAAAAAGAGACATATTTTGATGTTTTAGAAGAGAATTAATTTTGTTATGAGGTTATATTGGTAAAATATAAGTCTGTTTCATCTTGTTCCATGTGGTAGGGGTGGAACCGGCCTCTTCCACTTTGTTCATGTCTAATCCACATAAAAGTCATGCCAAACATGAGATAAAGATTTCTGTCATGTTCTGTCATATCTTGTCCAATGTACCAAACACACATTTAAATTGTTGTTCTTAAAAAAATATCTGAGTGTTTTAAAGAAAGAGGAAACAAAAAGAAAGAAAAATATAGAAGGAAAGTCATCTAAAAAATGTGAGAGGAAATACAGTAGAATAAATAACAATGGAAAACATTTAAAGTCGTTTGTTTTATTTTTAAAATAAGAGTTTAAAAGCTTTAAATGTCCTCTGAAACTTCAAGTGGTAAACGTATCCTGTAATACGCCTCAAGACCCAGTTCTTTTTGTGGGGCTGCCTCCGTGCTAACAAAAAAACTATTTATCTTTTATATTATTGCACTAGTTTGACCGATTTAGATTTCAGACTTTACACGTAAAAACAAACAATCTTACTGATCCAGATTTCAGACCTTCAGGGCCACCTCTTATAAATCAGAAGTGAAATCAAACTTCAGCACCCCTTAAAAAGCAAACGCCACCAATAAGTATGTATTTAACAAATTCTTTAAAACAAGATTTTAAACAAACAAGAAAATAGAGAAGAAAGTGTGAAATTTTCCAAATTTGAAAAACTCTAAAAAAAATATTAACATGATAAAGAAATATTATTATCTCACTAATAAGAAACTTTGAAATTAAATATTAAATTATTTAAATAATATAATTAATATTGTAATATTTTTTAATTTTTTTAAATTAAGATAGTCATTTTTCACGATGACTTCACCTTTTAGCGATTTCTCTCACAAAATAACAAATAGTCATAGATTCGTAATTGGTAGGTCCGTAATTTGCAGAGGTGTGTGGAAAAAAGTTTTTGAACCAAGTTCGCAATTGCAGGGACCAAACAAGTAAATTAGTTATAGGTCCGCAAATGTGTTTTTCTAAATTTACATATTTGGTCCCTGTAACTACGAATCTCGTTCAAAAACTTATTTTTTCTTACACTTTGATCCCTCCATAAATCGCGAACCCATGGCTATTTTCGTTATTTCGGGGCCGTTTACTAAACGCTTATCCGATAGATGCTTACCGGACAAATTTCCTCACTGGACGAACATGGCAAGACCCAAAAATCTTACCTGCTAAGAGCGATAATAATGATAGAGAGCCTTACCCGGTAAGTGAGGGTGACGACTCTTATCCGGGTAAGCGCTTACCATATATATTGTTGCACATGATACCATTTTGATATACTACAATCTTACCTAAAAAATAAATTATATTGTTGACTCATAACGATAAGCGCTTACCGGGTAAGCATTTAGGTAAACAGCCCCCTAGTAAGAGAAATAACTAAGAGGTAAAACTATGTTGTTGAAATAGCTATTTTAATTAATTTGTCTATTTCAAATGAAGATGCCGTTGGACAAAAATGTACTTCCTTCATCTCAAATTAAATGTCCATAATAAAAAAGACACATAATTTAAAAAATGTATAATTATTACGTTTTTTAAATAATTAAATGACAACTTTACCCCTGTTAATAAAAATAGCAATTTTCTACAATTAAAGTAAAAAAGTTTACTTTTGAAAATTGATATTTATTTTAAAATAAAAACAAAAACAAAAACATAAACACTATTTTGAACAATGGAAATAATTTTTTTCTGAAATTTTGAATTTCAAAATTTTTTTATTTAAAAAACTTGAAGAATAAAAATAAAATGTTACAAGTGTTAAAAATATGTTTGTTTATCGGTTGACGTCCATTGGATGTGAGGGGAACCGAACTGATCCAATCATCCATTGTAGTTGGATTTTGACAATCGATCCGATCCGGTTAACATTGGATAACCGATTCAATATAATCCAATGGATGATTGGATCGATTCGGTTACATCCATTGGATACTTTGATATCCAATGGCATTGGAACTTTCTAGTGTGTTAATTCAATCAAATTCTCTAATAATGATACAAATTAATTAATCACTTTTAATATGTGTTAAAACTAAAATAAGGGAAGTTAAAAATTCAAAGTCTCACATAAAACAAATTCCGATTTAAACAATTTGAAAATAAATTAATTGGATGATAGTTTAGATAATGATTGGACGGACAACTGGATGATCATTAGATGATTAGTTGGATGCTGATCGGTTCGGTTTTGGTCGGTTCTAGACTGTCATCCGAGAACCGACGGATCTAAATTGGATGTTGAAATTTTCAATCCGATCCGATCCAATTACAATTATATATCTACTTATGATCGATCGATTTTAATTAGATCAATCAGTTCCAATTAAATTGATTGATTTTTTACACACAGTGTTAAAAACCCATTTTCACTCCTTTTGCATGGGTGGGAAAACCACACCTAAAACCAAACCAAAGGGCGGTGGGTTAACATACTTTATGAGGTAATACAGCAAGGTGCATTCACACTTGTCATGATCTGGACCGTTGATAGGAGATCCTGTCCTTTTCCATAGACAGTTGATTAGGAGCTTTAATTGGACTTTGAAGCGGGTCCACCATATAAATCTTAGTCGGCAAACAACATACAAACATCTTGTGTGGTGTTCCCAAAAATATTTAAACAATCCAAATATTCATTAAAATAAAATGTGTCGTTTTCAATATATATATAATATATATATATATATAATTTGTTTCAAATAAAATCAATCGTATTTGTACAACCAATGCAACCCAATAAATTGAAATGTTTATAGAAATAATAAGAGTTCATTTATTATGATTTGAATATTTATGGAAGTTGAATACGCTTCATTAATTAGGATCAATACTTTATATTAGAAAAACAATCAAAACTTCTATAAAATCACATATTAATAAAATGAAATGGACAATTGAGATTGGGTTGTATTGGTTGTACAAATGTTAAGGGTTGTATAATAATCAATCTCTCTCTCTCTCTCTCTCTCTCTCTATATATATATATATATATAAAGTATAATAAAATATTGAATAAATTACATGAAAAAGTAGCGTATCTTAACTTGATTTTTTTTTAGGTAATATAATTTCAAAACTTCTATTTTAATATCTAAGATTTAATATTTTAAACATTTAAGTGTCCGTTGACCATTTGAAGCATTAACTGGTTATAATGCTAATACGGCGAGTGATGTGGTATTCAACTCAGTATCATTTGCTATTCAACCTAATTTCTCTTATCACTCGACATATCAACATGGTAACCGGTTAATGCTCCAATCGGTTATCTGAATACTTAAATATTTAAAACTTTACATCTTAAATACCAAAATAAAAGTTCTAAAAGTACGTAATTCAAAATAGAAATCAAGTTAAATTACGTTACTTTTTAATAGAATTTGCTATTAAGTATTTTGAACATTTTCAATAAAATCTCTTCAATTAAAAATATAAAAAAAACTATTTTTTTAATAGAATTTCAAAACATTCATCAAAATAAAAAATATAAAAAAAAGATAAATTAATTAT